TAAAACTCGAGCCCTGTCAGAATAACTATAGATATTTGTCTTCAAAATGTTTTGTGTAGACTAACTGGTGATGCTGTACTTGTTAGGATAGGTATATTTTCCACTCTTCTCACTCTGCCTGGTCTGTTAATGTGTCTTGTCTGTCTTTCAACTAATGGTTTCAGTACATAAAATGTCATAATATGACTTTGATGGAAACATTTACATTTCTAAATTGAGGTTACGTGATATTACAGTTTCCAAAACTGCATTATTGACTCAAAAATGATGGAAAAACATGACTTCAGAAACCTTCAGAAGTTCGAAAACCTTACGTTAAGATTACAATTGCGTTAAATCCATAATGCATCGTTACATTCTATCACTCTGACCAAAAGGCCTGTATAATATAATTATTTCCCCGTACTTTAAACGCCTCTTGTGTTTCCACATGTCGGCCAGCCGGGGGCGCTGTTGACTGTGGAGTGCAGCACAGACGCCATCTTGAGGAGACCCCAGTGACTGACAACAACTGGAGCGCATCATGATGGGGTTACCGATGTCCAACTAAAGCAACATCACGTCACTTTCAGGGCTGCGGACGAAAGCGAAGCAGAGGACCTGTTGGCTGAGTGTTCGAGGCCGAGGCTGGTTGTTCCCACGCCGCTGCCTGGAGCTCCATGGCCGGCTGAAGGCTCGTCTCCCGCGGCCTGCTCTGCTCCGGAGGAGGAAGGGTGGTGACGGCGCAAAATGCTCCACCGCTGACCAACAGCACAGCTTACCCTTATCCAGAGACTCAGCGGGCTGGACAACGAGCACGATGCACTTATAGACGTTTAAAGCTCTTAATTTCACACATTTCTATTGTAAAGGCTTTGAACGACAGCGATAGTCGTGCGGAGCTGAATTCATCCGGAGACATGTCATCCAACTGCACCAGCGCTGCGCCCGTCAGCGCCAGCAAAACCAAGACGAAAAAGAAGCATTTTATAGGACAAAAAGTCAAACTATTCCGTGCAAGCGAGCCTATTCTCAGCGTTTTAATGTGGGGAGTCAACCACACGGTAAATATATTCTAAAATCCTTTGTTTTGCGCTGTTTGTGCTGCTGTTTTGATTTTGCTAGCTTGCTAGCCAGCTGCTATAGGACTGCACTAAAATTTCTGACTGTCACCTATATAGTCATTTCCACGTCTATTACTGTTTAATTAAGCGTGCATGTAGCAGAGTGCACTGTCTCGAAGTTAACCACGTCGTTTGTGCAGTTTGCTCATGCACAATCCTGTCGCATGCATGTGTACATGGCAGAGATTTTCTAGCAAAAGGCAAAAACGCAGCTGTAGGTGTGACTCTCGGATTTGCGTGCTTGTTGTAGAAAGGGTAGACAACAATCTGACATCATGAATCATGTATGGGGCTGTTTTGGAACCAGGTCGTGAGCTGCAAGGGGCAACAGGGAGGGGTGTGACCGCAGACGCCACGGCTACACACATGCACAGCACACGGCTAGACAGAACACAACGGCAGCATCTTGTAGCGAGCAAACCTGCACGTAATTCTCCACGTAATACACGCCTATGTAGATATTCTTGCTACTGTCTATTATTGCATCTTCTCGCAATATAAATAGCTCAAGGGACGTACACTATCGCATTGCCTTTTGGCATTGGCACCCTTTGACTATTTAAGCACATTGAAGGACAGAATGCTCTGTGTTGATGGATGGGGAGGTTTTGCACCAACAGCAGTTTTGTGTTCTTGCCCACTGTGCAATGCATTACATCTCAGTACTGACTTGTCTGTACGTACGCACACCCACGCACCGGGATACCGCCTCTATAACACAACTTTGAATATAGAAGCCCCCAACCAAGCACAGTGGTTATTAATGACCCTAGATGAGTCTTACTCAAGCAAGAAACCAAGGAAATACCAAGTCTCCAGATCAGTGATGGTATATTTAATTAATTGTGGAGTAACAATACTGATAATCTTATGTAGGTCAATTTAATACTGCTGTTTTAAGCATGTGAAGATTATCCATGACTTAAATGTACATGTCTAATACATTCAATAACATAGAGGTTGTGGGTTAGATTTCTGGACTGACCAATAGTAGACATGTTCTCCCCAGCTTGTCTATAGAAGTAGGATGTGTATAGGCTGTCAAATCCGAATTTACTTTTTTAAGGGAGTGATTTTCAGTGCTATGCAGTCTGCAATAGCCAACCTTTGGATTGGATATTTACCAGCTTTAGCCTTTCATTGACAAAAAATATAAATATCTTACCCCATTTTAGATTTTATAACAGTTATGTCAGGTACTGTAAGAATAAGTGATAGACATTTGAATTACACCCACAACCATCACTAATCAGTCATAACCAGGTAATAAGTAGATACTCAGGTTTAAGAGACTGTAAATGGGTTGGCAGTTGTTATATAGCAAAGTGTTTGGCAGCTAGATCCCAGCTCTGATTAGTGCATTATGTTGTGTCCATGAGCAAAACACCACAGCTACCTTGCCCATATTTGAATATGGTGTGTCATTGACCGGCGACATTAAGGGAGGATATTGGGGGTAAATTTGTGTTAATTGGTCAAACAAAACCACACACTTGTAATACTTTACCGACATATATCCTGGAACTGTATTTTGTCAGAGAGTCAGAGAAATGCATAGTCCATTTATATAAAAACTTTGTGACTTTAAGTACAAATCAAAGAAAAGAAACAAAAGACTGAAAAGCAGCATGCATTTCAGTCAAATCAAGCAGCACTAAAATCTGACGTAAAAAAATATATATATTTAGGTCTAAATGCTGTGAGGATCTTTTGAGATGAAACATCACTTTAGTGTGCTACAATAAGCAGCTGTGATTGGATAGTTGTGATTAAAATACAACAGTTGTCTGATACACTCTATGGTCAGATCCTCCTGTGTTCGACCAGAAAGTAGGAGGGACTGGCAAGTCAGTGGTGGCTATAGTAGATCACCAGTGTGTGGGGAGTGAATGAATAATGCAACAAAAATGACTTTGACTGTCAAGAAACCCACATTTCAAAAACAATGTATTATTATTATTTCAGATATAACAAAGATAACACACTTTTTATGAGTCTACGCAAACCATGAAAAACCAACAGCTCTGTCCCCAAGTGTAAAATGCGTGGACTAAGCATCCTGTTAATAATATGACTACCACTGCAGTAGCTCCAGTAACTCGGGTGGTGCGTGTGGGAAGCTACACGCAGGCCCGCTGATTTGAGGTGTGGGCGGGAAGTCGATCCAAGACATCAAACAGACTTTTCATCAAAGCACTTTTCTCAAACTCACAAGTTGAATGCATTTTTAATCGCGTCGCAGCTTCAGCACCAGAGGACACTTTCCACACACTGTCACTGGCTGTTTGGCTCATGTTATACGCAGCTTGTTTCATGTCAGTAGTACTTCTAGAAACATACTGTAAATGTTTAAAGAATAATGATGGTGAAAAATACTCAATGAAAGTATTGGCATTATTTCAATTCAAATTATGAAAAGAGGCTAAAAAAAAGTTACCAGAACCACTTAACACTGATAGTTATATTTTTGCCAACTTTGCTATGAAGTTTTGGTAACGTACCGTGAATATACATTTTAATAATAGTCATAATAGATTACTTTTACCGCACTTTTCTGGACACTCAATGTCCTAGTTTTCTTCACCAGATGTTGATGAGTACATTCTGGGTGCTTTCTTTTTTTTTTGGCTGCTGTCTCATTTTAATTGCTTCCTTCCAGTGGACATTTAGTTCAAGTTACCATAATGCACATGAAATCATTGCATCTATTAGACAAATCTCAAATTACATTTCATGCTGTCTTTCATTTCGACCATGCTTTCATGAGAATTATCTTTTGTTTTCAATGAAGATAAAACTCGTATCCAGTGTTTTTCACTTTTAGCTTTAGCTAGCTGATGCCCCCTGTCCTTATTTTGGGGCCTCTTGAGGTGAAAAGTTAATGATTGTGGTTATAGTAAACAGACAGTAGCAGAGATTTCCAGCAGACATCTAAAATACAGCCTCATCAATGAATCACTCTTCTTTTAATATGCAATGACTCATTTGTAAATACTTTGAAGCCTTTGTATTCAGTGCACACCTTGGCCTTGTTGAGCTTGAAAGTCTGGGATATTTTTTCCTCAAACACTCAATATAAACTGTGTCTCAAAATAATCTGAAAAGTTTCAATTTCTGAATGCCAGGTTTAGTCCTGTTTTGTAAGTCTTGGTTACATGCTGTCTTGCTTCTAGATCTGGTTTAGTCCTGGACCAAAAGAATATGGATCCAGTTTAGGTCTAAGTTTGTTTTGGTTTTAACCTTGCTTTTTCATGTATTATTTAGTATTACACTGTAACACATGTTGATCATAATTTAATATTTTCTTCATTGCAAACCACTGTAACACCATGATATTGACAGCTTGATAATAGAAACAGATCCATTGGCTCCAAAAACTCAAAACTGCAGAACTGAAATGCACCTCATCTTCATAGTCCTATATCACCATAGCAACCCATACAGTTTCACCTTTGACCCAGTGTATATGTTTTTGGGTAATAACAAGTGCAGAAAAGCAGGTAGAGATAGGAGGTAGTAGGTGAAAACAGAAATTGTCTCAAATGCAGGACAAGCAAAATAGAAGTCTAAGTAAATTAAGGACAAAGGAAAACTGTTATGACATGGTTAAAAGTTCATCAGTTAATTTTACATAGTATTTGCTGTTTTTGGTCCTCATTTGATACAGTTTGGTGACAACATAGCTCTCCTTAGTTTCCTCCAAGTTCTATTTTAAAGTCAGTATTTATTGTGAAGATTAAGGCTAAATCTGTCTATTTTCTTCCTCTCTTTCAGATCAACGAGTTAAGTAATGTGCCTGTACCAGTAATGTTGATGCCAGATGACTTTAAAGCCTACAGTAAGATCAAAGTGGACAACCACCTATTTAACAAGTAGGTACTCTGTTATCTCACTCTGTCAACAGCCCTGCCTTAATCCAAGCTTAAACTGCTGTAAGGTCAGCCTGTGGGGTTGGATAACAAGGATACAACTGTCTTGATTTTAACTAGACATCCAGCAGAAAATGATCTTAAAACATCAACAAATACAGTTGAAAGGTTTTAGTTGTCAGACGAATGAATGATTGAACTGTAAAATATCAGTACATATTTTTCTATATCTATTTGGAATGTGTCAATTTTTTACATTACATACATTTTTTACATTACACACATACTTATATTCTTTTTGGAGCAAAATTTATACATTTACACATTTTTGGCAATAATTGGCTCTGGCAGGAATCAAAAAGTGATACAAAAATGATACATACCTGAAAAAACCCAAGACACTCAGTAAGGCTGCACAATTTTGCATATTCACATTATAATCAACTTTTTACAGAATTGAAAACCAATACATATGTTTCAGAGGTTGAAACTACAGGTACAACAACGCTTTTCTTTTGTTTGTTGCAGATGACCTACTATCTAAATAATTACAACCTGTGTGATCTTAAATTGCTATTTCATTTCAGTTGCTATATATTGTGCAACCCTAGCCCAGTACATGGTAGATATTCGGTTGTGTTGTGACTCTTGCTTCTAAACATGTTACTCTGCTGCTTTCTGACTGTGGCTTTACAGGAAGTGAAATCATGCTCCGGAGGTTAAGCTGCCTCCACGATGACACTTCTCAAAGTATTTTAACTGAGCACCATTGCAGTTCATACGCTGCATGTAACTTAAATACAACAACAGCTGTTTTGGCTGTCGTAAAATAAAATCTGTACAAAAAGTGTT